TCCATCCGGCTTCTCCATGGGATTTCCCGAAGGTTGTTAGCTTTTTCCTACTGCTAAGTTGGATCCAGCGTATGCCTTTCTGCATAAAACACTCATGCGAAGAACTTATGGTTATGCAGCAAATCTCCTACTGACTTGGCTTTCAACCAAAACCGCACGAGTTTTTCTTGCATACAGGTCAGCTAGCTGAGCAGGCTGGACGTTCTCCTTAATCCAAAGCTTTAGACTGCTTTCAACTTTCTTCTTGTCAATAGTGGTACATAAAGGAATTTTTGCGATGATCTTAGCACGGGGGTTAACATCAAACTTCTTTTTGCAGACATTCGTTAAGATACCACGAACTATCTACCGACCTCGGGGTTGATTAATATTCTTGACCGCGATATCCTTCGGTGAGTCTACGTTTGGCAAGGTCTTTCCTTTTCCAAGGGGCCCTGAGAAGTTAAATGACCTCTGCTTCTTTAATATCTGTTTTTGTTTGAGTTCGGATGAGTTAGGTGACAGTCCATTTCCCCCCTGTTTCAATAGCAGACTTGGCGTCTTTGAGCAAAAAGTTCTCATCTCCAATTTTTAACTTACTATGCCCAAATAACAGCGATACCAAGCGCCATGCTTTCATCCAACGTCCACCTGTGTTGTTAGTTATGATCACAGATTTTGTAGCCTTCTCTTTTTTTAACCAAGGTTTTTAGGACATGAAGCAAATCTGCTTCATTTTTCACATCCACATTAGTGCAAGAAAACATTAAGGGTTCTAATACATCAACCGAGGTTAAAGGCGTTCGAGCGTGCTTTCCACGCGATCTACGTGGCCGTCGTCGTTTCGCGGTTCCTCGCGCATTCAAGCCAGGATTTACACTCTTGATAATAGCTTGTTCCATACATTCGATCACAGGATCATCCCCAAACCAAATAGGAATAGGAATGTAAGATTCGGAACCCGTTTTTCGCAACCAAGAGTGAACCTTTTGTTTACTATTACCGCGAACGGCACGACAGTGTTCAGAGCAGCTTTCTCACAACGATCTGGTGGTTTTACCAACATACACAAGTTTATGGTTCACCGAAAGCAAAACATAGACGCAACTGTGTGCGTCGGTCAGTCTTCCCAATCATCACGGTCTAGGCGTAGCCAAAATCGGACGTACGTCTGCCCCCATCGCACGAATCCCTTCAGACAGGCAAAAATAGTCAGAAGTACATGAATGCGTTCCAGTAGGCCGAGCAGCGAAGGATCGATAGTCCTTTTCACGCTAATAATCTGGTTAACTGCCCCCCTAATCGATCTGATACTACCCAAATTCAGTTTCCCTTGACTTTGTCCCGATCTTCCTCAGCGTCGTCGTGATCAGACTCGACTGAAGTCTCCTTCCGGCACGGTTTCTCACCCCGATCCTCTTTCAGTGAGTCAGCATATTCCTGTAGGTCTAGCCGAGCGAGTTCCCACACGGCAACATCTTTCTTGAAGTATTCAACTTCACGTTCTTTGCATAGCTCCTGGACTCGTGTGTAGTGGAGAGAACCGTAGAAGTCGGCCCGTACCTTCATGTACGCTGCAAATCCGTCCTCATCGGGGTCTTCATCGTCAACATCCGCTTGGGCATTCTGTGCAACAACAGTCTCAGCAGGTGCCCCCTCTGTCGGGGGTTCGTTGGTGACTCCTGGGTTGACTACCTTGGCCTTCCATTTCGGGTCTTGCAGGCTGCTCATCAGCGACGCGAGCATTCGCTTTATATCAGACAGCTCGCTGCTTGTGCTGTCCAGCTTTGCTTGCAGGTTCTGCTTGGTACCAGAGGGGCCTTCATCATCGGAAAGTTCGATACGCTTCGACTTAGTCTTCGAACTGCCTTTGGATCTTGGTTTTGCGCGAGCTGCAGATGGAGAGTTCTCAATTGGTGTGCGGGCAACGCACCGCTTCCGTTTTTCATTACTGGAGAGCTCCTTGTTGTCCTTACCTTCTTGCACCTCCTTCCGTAGGCGTTCCAGCTCATCCCGCTCAGCCGCATCCAGTTTCGATTTCTTGTCCACTGCCTCCAATTTCGAATTGATGAGCTTCAACGATTTGCCTAGTGTGGTGGTGACCCACACTTTCATGTCTTCGCTTTTCTCGGATGAACGTGCGTCGTCTCTGCTCCCTTGGTCTTGAGGTTCCGAAGTCTGGGAACAGGACCGCTTTGCAACGCCGATTCTTGGCATACCGACTTTCTTCCTCGCTTCTTCGATAGCTTTGCTGGACTTGATGTTCTCCAGAATCTCCATGTATTCCATGGTCAAGTAGGCCCGATTCCCTGGTCCAGGGAAGTTGTTAGCCGCCGAGCCTTTACCTCCTCCGCTCGATGCAGAGCTTCCGCCGTGCCCGCCATGGAATCCTTGTGGATTCGCTTGTGCAGCAGGGGGCTCTTGCGGCAGCGTCATCGAAACAGGCATATGAACCGGTGCTTGCGCAGCCACCGAGATCTGGGGTGGATTCCCATACCAAGGTACGCTCCCTTGCCATGACTGTTGATGAGGTGGTACCCATGGTTGCGAGCTCCACTGGTTAACCGCCGGATGGTACTGCACCGGTGCGCCTGTCGGGCCGGGTGCCACAGATGGCACTTGCACTCGTGGTGGTGGGAGAACCGTTCCTCCAGTATAGTATTGGACGCCCGGAGGGGGTGGGTTCGTGATCGGGGCCGGGGCCGCCGAATATGGTAAGCTGGCTCCAGCTTGGTGTCGCGCAAATTGATTGCTGTTTGCTCCCTCCATCCAGTAACGACCGCAGTTGGACCACTTGCCACGTCGGCTGCCGATCTTCCCGCTTCGTCCTCTTGGGTACATGCGCCCTGCAATGAAGGAGAAGGCGCACAAGCTGATACAAATTCCGATAACTGCCTCAATAGCTCGCAGATGATCCAACCAGCTGCTGGCTTCGATGGAAGCGACGGCTTTAACCACCATACCCCAGTTGCGCGTTGCGATCGTCGTCCTCGATAACACAAGGGAACATTACAGACTCGGATCACGCCACTAAGATTAGGCGCAGCAACTGGAGAGGAGATCGGAAGAGAAAGGTAGGAAGACAGGAAGATAAGGGGGACACAGATATTCAGGGATCGAAATGCAAACAGCGCTAATACCCAATACGCCCATTAAGTAACAAATATAATCCACCACTCGAGTGTGGGAATACAAAACGAAAAGACTGCAAACGATATCGAAAGTCACCAATTGATCCTAGCAGATCAATAAATATCAATCAATCGACAAACGAATTTACACCCGCGACTCCATAGAACATGACTCCGAATGAAGCAAGTCTGATGAAGATGGCACCTCAACCTCGTTCCCAAGCCACGGCAAGGTCGACGCCGAGGCTCAAGTCCATGAGAAAGATTACACACAATGGAACCAAAAAGTAGAAGAAGATGCCTTGAGCATTAATCTTACAACATCTTCTCCTCCACCCTTCCATAATAGAGTTACGGAACTCAATCCTTCCACTCAATACACCACTCAGATTGAGGATACCTACTGTAGCATAGCTTAAATAGCAACCGCGTAGACCACGCGACGGTTCTACCCCTAGGATACCGCTCGATAACTCCAGAAAACTGCAAAAGAACTCCAAAGAATGAATGAAAGATGTATGGGGTCGGCAATTCCGACAATATTCTTGCAAAAATATTAACTAAGGTGAGGGGTGCGTCAGACGAGTCCGACGTCCCGTCCCTCCGCGATAAACTTGAAACCACATGTGGTCTCAGTACTGGCAAAATAATTAATGAAGAGTTCGCCTGGAGGACCAGGTGTCTCGTCACTTAGAAATGCATAGAACTAAAACCCGGG